AGCACCGACCTCTCTTCCCCCCACTTCACCATAACGGTGCAGCAAAGCTCTGCAGCAGCAGCAGCAGCACAGAATTTATTTTCATTTCTTTCTCAGCACTCCCATCCAGCAGCTTCCTGCTCTGCTGTGCACTAACACGTGTGGGAGGTGCTGGTTTTGTGCTGGCTGAGCCCTGAACCTCCTCTCTGGAGCAGCGAGGAGCCCATAATGACTGAAACGCACAGAAGCCTCACTAGAAACTAGAATCTTACTAAATTGGTACCTCTAATACCTCTAATTAATGCCTTGGCTGGGTCTCCAAGAGAGCAGGAGTTCAGTGACTTTCTTAAGAATTATTCTGCACTATGTAGAAATTAAACTGACTTTTAAGCAGTGTACAGTTGCTGTCAGCTAAAATGCTGCTCAGAAATCTGAACTGGCAGGTGCCCTTAAGTCTTGTTGGTTTGGATTAATGTTTTAAGTACTAGCAGAAATTATATTTACATTGCATAAAAAGAACCTTAAAATGTAGCTGCGGCACCGAATATTGTTTAAGGACTCAGAGCCTGCAGCTGAGTATTTATTTTTTACCCTAATTTTGTAGAAAAATGTGAGGAAAAAAAAGATATGTGACAAATTAGCAGATAAGTACACTAATAATTTATGGTAGTAAACTTGCCTCAGGAGCAGAGTTTATTCAGACTTTCCTTGGGATTTGTAACTTTACAAAAAATAACTTTCATGTCAGGAATTGTTTTTTAATTGATATATTAGGAACATCCTTCACCATTTCTGTTCTCTTCTTGTATTCAAACTGCCCATTGTGAATATAAAATGCATCAAAGTAACTAAAATGGAACATTTGGAATGGAGAATTCAGGAAAGAAAACAATGACAACTTTATTAAATAGCCTACCGTTGTATCATCTTTGAAAAAAGCTTCAATGTGATATGTTTGTTAATCTGAATTTGAAATATTAAGTTTTTTTCACCAAGATTTTTTATCAGTTGGTTGGAATCCTTTGTGCCAGAAGTCAGCATGAATTGTCAGAGTAAGACATGGATTTTAAAACTATGGGAGTCAAGAAGAGATGTGCATCTTCTTTGTTCCTGTTTGGAATTATTTCAGTATACTTTTCTACATAGAAATAGCTATTTGATTTTAAATTATTTCATCCTCTTTTTTTTCCAACTTTTCCCCTTTTTTTAGGCTTTGTGGGCAAAAATAGTTCTGTAGTTCTCTGTTCTTTTCAAGGACAGTGGAAATGAGGTTTTTTTTCATTTCTGAGTTTATGGTGCTCTCTTTTTAGAACTAATCCTTACAACGTGAGTCTGACTGGCTTTTCAGATTTAAAAGTTCTCTGAGAGAGTGGAGGAGACAAGAAAGGCTGTGTGAGAACATAGATTGCATGTTAGTTTGATTTCCTCATGAAAAAACAATGATCTCTTTTTCTAAACACTTTCTTCCAGAAAGATCTGAAGAGGAGTTTAGCAGCAGTAAATATGAAGTCTCTGTGCATTTCAGTTTTGCAGGTTTAAAAAGCTTTCACATGAAGAGGCAGCCTGGAGAGAGAATGGGCAATAATTAAACCAGAGAACTGGGAGGCTGAAGGGAGCTCTTCTGCTTTGAGTTGGATGGTTGCTAGCTTGTTTCTGCAGCTGTTGGAGTTTTTGGGATGTTCTGTTGGTCTGTGTGTGTTTGTGCTTCTCCCTGTACTGAGGATGGTTTCTGTGCTCCCTGCCAGCCTGAGCTGCACCACCTTCCTCTCACTTCTGGAACTTAAAGGATTTCTGAAAATCCTTCATTCTCTGAGCTCAAAAGCTGCTATAAACCTGTGAAATCGGCTGCACTGGAGCTGTCTGAGGTGATATTGGTTGACAATCTACCTCCCAAATCTCTTTCTTGCCCAAAGTGTCTGAGCAGTGACTAAAGCAATGCCACAGATTTGATCAGTATTCTTATTTCTCACCCAGATCTTAGCCCTGCTGCTTTACCCTTGATTTAGTTCTCCTCTGACCAATTCTTTTTAAGAAGTAGTGGCTGTTTTTTGATCCCGCCAATCCCAAATGGTTTCAAACTCACTTTTCTTTTTTTTATAAGAGGCGTTTCTCCATGTTTAAATAGAAGTCAGCATGAAGAAGGAGGCAATGCTTCAACAGGGGCTGAGCTGAATATATTTCCTTCTGAGCTCAATTAGCTCGTGCTCTTCAATTTGACTGGGAGCTATGATTACAATAACTGCAGAAAAACCAAATCCCAAAGTTTTGTGTCACCCTGAAACATAGTTATTTTTCAAAAAACATCGCTTTAGGTCAGTATTTTGGTTTGAAAAATAAATTGTGGACCATCCCAATATTGAGATGTCCCCAATTTGGAAGGTCCCTTTCTTATTTTAAAAGGTCTCTTGGGCTGCTGTCTGCTGTTCTACAGGTAGATGAGGAACTCCTCCAAATAGTTTATTTTCAAACATGGCCTCTAAAGGCTGGATTATATCTACCCCAAATTCCTGTGCTGGTTTACCTGAGGTGGAGCCCTGGGCTGTGCTGCTGTGCCTGGAAATGTAAATTTTAAGGAATTTAGAGATTTTAGAGGAGCTAAGATTTTAGTTAGAAATAAGCTTTACTGGAGTTAATTAAAATAAATGAGTAGGCCTTGATGAAGTTAGGAGTTAGTAGTTAACTAATAATTGATTGCTTGTCAGCACAATGTTTAGTTAGCTGGTTTATAATGAAGAATACACAAACTGACAAAGAGCTTTTAGGAACATAAGACAATTTTGGGCCTCCTCTGTTCTGAAACCAACTGAAGACAAGGAATGGGAGTTCTACCAAGAGTTCATTTGTCATATTGGCATTGAAAAGGTAGAAAGGTCAGAACGAGGAAGATTTCATTGACTTCCTCATTTTGGGACCCCTCCCCATGAAAGGGACACCGACCCATTTCAAGGGACAAACCTCACATGCTGAATGGCTTTGGGAGTGATTGGCATAGGAAGTGGGGAATGGGATGTACCAAAATGATGAATATGGATTTGTATTTTGGGTATTCAATACTTGTATGGATAAAAAGACTCTGTAATCACCTGGAAGCTGCAGTGTGGATTTGGGAGCGATCCCACACACAATAAATACAGACTTTCTAACTTTAAACTGTTAGAGGGTTTTTGTCCATCACAGTTGGATATCGATACTAGATCAATATCCATATTTTTTTAATAAACCAGCCTGGCTGCCAGCGCTGCCCCTGGGCACAAAGCTCTGCCCACAGCCAGAGCCTGATTGCTGCTCACTCTGTCCTGGAGAAAGCTCAGGGAGAGACAGGATTTCATTTGGGGAGCAGACAGAGAATCCTGTGGGTTCATCTCAGCTGCTCCTGTAAGAGCAAAATAGGAATCAAAGAGGAATCAGGGCAGGCATCCTCCTGCTCGCCCACTTGGTGCCTATCAGCCAGTTTGTGTGAGCAGGGGAATAATGCATGAAGAGTGTCTCCTCTGTCAAAAAATATTTATGATACGCTCACTCCAGCTTGTTTCCTTGCTTTATTTCATTTTGTTAATGAAAGAAAAGGCTGACATGTTCCTCTGTGGCTGCTGTCTTTAGGAATATTCAGGGTAGTCCCACTGATTTAAGATTTTCATATTAATACCAAAAGTAATCAGCTTGCAATTGCCAAAACAAACCCACCCTTTCTGTTTTGGCTATAAAAATGCAGAATAAACAACTTCTGTCTTAAGCATGTGATGGGTTAATTGCTCATGAAGTGATCATTATCTTGTAAATACAACTTAGAGCTCAGGGAAAATGAAAAATAAAACACCATGCTGTTATTTTTCTTTATTATTGGAAGACATTCCATGGAGTCAATGCATGCAGAGGATGTTGGACAAGTGTTTAAAGAGCTTAAGCTGCTGTTTGGGAAGGATTTTCAGGGAAAACTGGAGAAGCTGTTACACAGTGTGCTGCTTCATATTTTAGAAGGTTATAAAAACTTACAGAATAGCTAACAAGATCGAATAAACAAATACTTTTATGCCTGCTGAACCATGGGGGGTTTGCCTAAATAAGAGAGACATAAGCTTTTCATTTTTAATACAAGTATAATGTCTTTCAACTACCACTTTGTGTGACATAACAACTGCAGATCATAGAAAATATGGCTGAAATAAGCTTTTCAGCTTTTTTTTTTTCAGTTTATTGCTCACCCATAAGAAAATATGAACTAAACTATTTGTGATCAATATTTACTCTGTTTTCTAAATATCCTTTTTTAGCTCCATCGCCCCACATTTCTTTCTCCCCTTTTTTTCACTTTTAAATTGAATTCTAAACCAGTCCACTGTACCAAGTTACAAACATGTGATGATTTGGACATGAAAAGGGAAATTCATGAGAACCATAAGGAACTTTGCAAGGTAAGTCATGTATATAGTAAGAGCTTGACTTTTTAAACTCTGTCTTCAAGGGTATTTAGGGAGAAGAAGAAATGACTGCTAGAAATATCTGATTATTTTATGTTTAACAATCTTTTACTGTGAACAAATAAAGATTTCTAGCTGTGTGTGGCATCTGTGTTTGAAAAGGACCAGACACTGAGAAAGTTTTATAAAATGAATCTTCTTTGATTCTAGACAGAAATAGGAATTGTGGACAAGCCCATTATGATTTTAGTATCTCTCCCATTTCCACACACCCTCCCCAGTCAAATCCATTTGGGAAAAAGGTGAAATTTTGGAGCTCGATAATGCTGAAGAACTGTCTTAAGAAAATCATGTCTGAGCCCATTTGGGGTCTGTGTGAGGAGCCATGGTTGAATCAGAAATTCTGACAAAGCCACAGGAAATCAGTGGAGATGTGAGCAGAAGGTGAGGGCAGTTCTGTGGGAATGGGACTTGGAAATGTTGGTTTAAAGCCAATGTCCTGTTGAACTGAAATGGACTCTGGGAGTGCCTGAAAAATGTCCCTAATGTGGGGAATAAAACAACAGAGCAATGCTGCTTTAAATGCTGCTGTCTGAATGCTGGGGGTTCTGTGATTGTGAGCGATTTCCCTGTGGTGACTTGTGCCCCTTGGCACTGGGGGAGTGAAATCCAGTGCACTGGGAGCACTGGGAAGAGCCCTGGAGCTCCAGGTCCCTGCCAGTTTGGTACAGCATTAGAGAATGTCTAATGGTGGGTGTGTTTTTATGTCACAAAGAGTCGCAGAGTTAAGCAGGATAACATCTACTACCCTACTGTGTCAGCGTAGAGGGAAAATAAAGGCATGACAGCTGTTATTAGACACTGGAAGCACAAAATAAATCTGTTTCCAAGAGCACCATTGTGAATGAGAAAGGAGAGAGAGAATTATCCCTTGCTGGTGGCTTTTAGCATAGCAGGGTAAGCTGCTTTTCTCCTCCTTTCTGTTTCTCAGGAGTTCTCCAGAAAAGAAACTCTTACACAGAGATTGTTAGCCTGGCAGGGAAAGTCAGGTGTCCAATCTTTATTAAGTTTGTTCTTACTCAAGATTCTGAACACTGTAATTAGTGTAAATAAACTGGTGCTTATGGCAGATTTCCATAGTATTTACTCTTGATAACAATGTTGGTTTTGTCCAGTGTTTTGGAACCTCCAGAAAACTGGAGAGGGAAGGGCCCCCAAGTTACTTATACACTTCTGTTGGTCTATTTGTAATTTTTAATTGACAGCTCTACATTTCAGTATTTAGCTACTGCACTGTTGTTCTTGATCCATTGCCCTCTCTCATTTCCAGAAACTGGATGTATGAACTCGAAATAACCTTTGAAGTGATCACCCTGGAAAGAACAGAGAGTTCCATGTGAAAAGGCATTGAAGTCAGTTCATGTGATGCACACTTCTGGGTTCCCACTTCCCACAGGAGCACAGCAGAAGACAAGGTCCTTTATTAACTTAACCAAGCACGAATTTGTCTTACAATTTTCCCATTCATTCCAATGGGACATGAATATTTTGTTTCCTAATCAGCACAATTAGCCCGGAGCTCAGGTTGCAGTGTGTCACTGCAGTGACAGCTCCCCCTGAATGACAGCTCCTCTCTGTAGTGAGAAATGACAGCATTTGTAAACCAGGGTTGTCTAAAGAGAAGACTCTGTTCTGGAGTGACTATTTCCCAGTTAATCATTGCTGCATTTTACAGCACACCTTCAATATACTTATTTTAAACTGATCTGGCTGGTCTGCTGAAAGGGACCCGAATGGTGTGTAGCAGAATATTCTATTGCAGCACCTACTAGCAGAATATTGTTGATGGCAATTAGAGGATTCTCAGACACACTGTGAAATGTGATCCAGTAAAAAAGTCACTAGTGATGGGTGTCAGAGTTTGTCATGCTCACCTCGGTGGCAAAACTCTTGCCATGCTTTTTGTGGTCACTTGGGCAGTTACTGTCACCAGCCTCTTCCTAATGGAAACCTTATTTTTTTTATGCAGCAGAAGCCACCACCTGTGTCTCTGAATGTGTGTTTGCGTGCACATATATATTATATATTGTCATTTATATAATAATTATGTATAATCATTATTCCATTTATCCTTAAGCCACTGGCATCTGGCTTAACAAAAAGGAATGAGTATTTTACACTCATGAGCACAGGAAAGGAGTCTTGGACTGAAGGCTGACTTGGAAGCTCTCACATAATTTTCATGCTCATCAGCATAGCCAGAAATCTGAATTTAAATCACTGCAAGGTTTGGTAAGTATTTTAAACACAACTTTTGGAACCTCAGTTTCTATCTGCAATACATGGACTGTATTTAGTTTCAGATCTTTGGACAAGGGATCAACTCATGAATGTTTGGATGGCAGCAAGCACAGGCCTCTATTTGTACCTGCAGACCAGGGAAATTACTGCAAAATACATCTCTAATTCTAAGAATAATGTCACCCCTCCTCTCAAAATGAGAAAAAAACCTGCCAGCACCATAAGTGCTTCTGAACACTTTCAGAATGTTCAGGAAATCTGCAAATTGTCAGAAAGTTTTAAGGCATATTATGGCAGAAATCTTGACATAAGTGTGCTGCAGACATCAAAAAGACTAATGCTGGTGTCGTGCTGATTTCATTTTCCTTTTGTTGTATAAATACACACACAGTACTTTAAAAATATTGGAGGTGATCTGAAGTGGTTCATAAAACCTTGCTGGTTTGCAAATCACTGGGATATTTGAACTGCATTGGATGGTTCTGAGTTAGTGTCTGGAGGCACCTTGCATTCTGCTATTCCTTGGGATTGCATCTGCAAGTTATGGATGTGCAATATTGATCCAGAAACTTGGCATTTCAGCTTGGAGAAAAAGAGCAGCTTCTGTGTAGGATCTGTGGTGTGAAATTCCACAGAAATGCTCGTGGTAACTTCAACAGCTTCTCCTTTGTTTAAAAAAAGTGCTGCTGGTTTTGTCTTCCCACTGCACTTCAGTGGAAGAAGCTCCTTTTTTTTTTTTTTTTTTTAGGCTCTTCACTGTCAGCTTTCCTCTGGAGATTTTTCTCTAACAAATCATGATGTATTTTTTTGGTAAAACCCAGAGACTTTGAAAGGAGCACTGCTTCCTAGTGCATACATCTATACATTTTATTCACTCTATATAGACATACATGGTTGGTAAATATTTGGTGTGTTGGCAGTTGAAGAAGGTTTCTCTGGAAAGGATGACTGAAACCAGCGATGATTCTGGATTTCAAGTAATTAAATGATGTTCAAATAGTTTCCCAAATGTTAAATAATCTTAATGGAAAAAAAAACCCCTCTAATGTTCAGCATTTAATGACCAAGAAAATGTGTTTTCAGCAGTTTAAATGCATTTGAAATATTTCAGTATTTTACACTGTTAATGCCTAAATTACTTAGGCTAATAAGAGGACATTTGACTTGTATTTCTGTTACTTACGTGCCTGTAAGATTTCCCACAGCCATTTGGCATGGGACAGCTGAGTGTACCTAATTATCATCTCAAGATCCAGTCACTGATTTTTTCCCCCACCCCCATGCTATATTTACCTTTCATGTGATGGGTTATAAAAACTCTTATTCTGAGGGCTCAGTAATCCGTGTTTTAGCAGGGTGGGTTCAAAACTTTCTGCAGTCACAGAGAGTCTTGCCTGGGTGTTTTCCAGAAAGCAAAGCCAAGTTTATGTAACAGAAACAGAACACGAAACGTGTGGCAGGCAGGATTTGTGATCATCCTGCTCCCAACCTCTGCCACCTCAACCTTGGTTTATGTTGTTTTGTTGCTTTTTCTACTCACTAATTAACATTTCTCCTCTGTCCCAGGATAGCTGAGTGCAGTGTGCCCAGCAATCATTAGAACCACTTGAAAGCTTTTCTTAGAATTGCTGCCATGATGAGACCAGGTGACAAAACAGTGAAATGCTGTATCTTGAGAAAAATGTGAAGCTGGTGTCATGTAACACTTCTGTGATGATAGATTAGCCAATGTAATTGCAGGAAATAAATGTCATCACCTGTATGAAGATAAATAGCTTTTCCTACACTAGCATGCTTTTGCACATAAAATGTGTCATTTTACCAGTTGTCCCCATTTTTTTGCCAAATAAATTTTATAATGGCCATAAAAGGAAAGTGTGATGTGTCTACTTAAGTGTTAGAGTGTTAACAGAGGGCACTTCTGTGCTTCTATATAATTGAAATCAATGACATTGTTACCTGAAAAGTTGTTTTGTAGCTCTGTTACTTGACAGAAATGTTTATTTCCCTTCCCTGGCATATCTAAAAGTCAAAGTGTGTGGAATTAGATGCACATGCATCATTAGCATGTGGGTGGCTGGAATTTTGTCATAAATGTCTGCAATGGGGCTGTGATGTGTTCTCCTGGCAGACTGGGACGTGAGGCTGTCACCTGCAAGGGTGGCAGTGAGACACTGGAAATGTCAGTTCATTCTGTCCTGGTAGCAGCACTGCCAGGGCACAAGGAGAAAAGTGTCCAAAGCATCTCCTTGGCATAAAGGAAAGGTCAGACAGGATTATCAAAAACATTTAAAAATATTAGAGCCGTTTCTGAGGTTTTTTAGTATGGTTTCGAAAGTATTTCCTCTCATGCACACATACAGGGGATAAAGTGAAGATCTATATTGTAAATATGAGAATTGCTGAAAATTCTGGGATAAAATGAGTTAAATACCAGGCAAATACTTGGTATCATATTTGCTCAGTTGATTTGTGGTCCAAATCCAGTTGTCTGAAATTTCTACCACAGGAGTAGTGAATGCCTGCTTTCATCTGACACTGATATCCCAGACTTAATGAAAGCAACCTTTTTACCCCTTCACTAAACAAACCAATATGTATTCAGATGAAGAACTAAATTAATTTCATATTTGCTAAGTACCAACTATCCTGAACAGGTTTGGACACCTCCTTGCTCTTGTTGCTCCTGTTTTGTGCAGAAGTGGTTCTCATTTTGCTTTTTGTAGCTAACAGTAATTTAGTAGATAATAGTTGGTGGCATTTAAAAATGGGTTTTCTTCTCTAGGTCTCTAAGTGTAACTTTTCCCCTGTGAAACACCAGGAAAAACATAATTTGTTATGTAATAAGAAATAATTTAGTGTCTTAGGCAATCTGTCTGAATGTCTGGGTGTGGGACACGCTGTGTTTGGTAACCGTGGGAGTGGGTCCAGCACAAGGGCAGTTTGTTCCTCCATGAGATTATTCCCAGTTTGTGCCATGAAATGCAGGATTGTTGTGCACTAATTAGAGCAGTGACAGCTGCACACCGTGTCCTGTGCTGCCGTGTCCCTGCCACGCTCTGTGGGTGTGCTGGTAAGGCCTCGTTGCAGATGTTTGCTCCAGATTATTTCAATCCTCACAACTGGCAAAGCCCCAAAGGAGCTACAGGAACTTCTCAAAGGAGTTCAATCAGCTTCTGTAGAACTCTCACAGGGCTGGGTGGCACTTTGTAGGCAGGAGGCACTTTGTGAAACCTCTCGCTGCCTGCAGAGCAGTGATTGTCCTGTACAAACACACCAGGAGCACCCTCAGCAGGGCCTGATAATCAGTGATAAGGAGCAGAGAACACACTTGCTTTTTAAGCTGCATATGCTTTTTAAGCTGCATATGCTTTTTAATTTCCCCCACAAGGAGATCCACGTGAATGTACTTTCACACAGCTGCTGGGTGACAGCCCAAACTGCACTGGAATATTTCTGTTGCTGTAGCTGAAGGGGTCATTGCTGATGCACTGGGACCCAGTTAACACCGCAGTAATGATGCAGAGCTCTGCCTCGGCTGGACAGAGATGCTGCTATTCCTGCAGGGATGCAATTCCACTGCCTGTCTGCTGATAGTCAGGAGAAGATTGCCACCCTTTGGCCAGGAAGCAGAGGCACACGGGGAGAGAAAAACACATTGTGCAAGTTGAGGATGCGGCAGCAAAACTATTTAAGAGTATGTTCATTTGTAATGTAACTGCTCAGCAACAGGAGCCCAGTTGGGTGGAGGTTGTAGGCATCATTTGCTTTGATTTAGTGTATTTCTTAGCACGGTGATGTGTTTGGAGAGAATATATTATGCTACGTACTAATTATGTTTTCCTGAGAACTGAATTGCAAATGCATTGTGAAGATAGGATGAAGGCTGCCATGGTTACCATTGTGCACCCAGGAACTTATTTTATACAGTGCCAATTAATCTGAGGTAATGCTTGAGAGGGAAGAACATTGAATAAGAAATGCTAATGTCTCAGCTGAAAGATGGAAATTAGATAGAAAAACACAGCTTTTATTGAAAATTATATGTCAGGGTCAGCATTTATAAATGAATCCACCTGTATGACTAAAACCAGCAGTTCTGTCTTACATTAAAAAACCTGTATTTTCCCAGGCCTAATTGACACCCAGGCCACTGCTGCTTTATCAAGGATATTCTCTAAACAGGAGGGGTTTTTTTTTCCTTTCTCGTGATTTTAACAGCATATTTCTGCAGTCAGGACTGTATGTGGGGATTATTGCAATGTCAGAAAGAGAGTGCATTTGCGTGATGCAAAGACATCTAAACCTTCTGCAAGTTTCTGAAGGACAAATCTTGTGCCTTTGGCCAGAGGCTTCCTGCAGGTGGGGACTGAGGTGGCCCAGGCCTGGCTGCCCCTCTCCTGGCAGCTCTGGGAATGATGCTGGTGTGGCCCTTGGGTCCCTGTGTCCCTGTGCACAGGGTGGGGAGGGGCTGGACAGAAGTAGAACATATTAGAATTAGAACTAGTAATGAATACAGAAGGCTACTGAAGCAGGGAAGCTGCTGGAAGGTTCCCCCATGACTGACAGAGCCAAGGGGATGCTCTGGGCACAGCTCAGCCCGGCAGGGACAGTGGCAGCACATCTGGGCTGATGTGGGAGGCAGTTTGTGCCCAGGAGCAGCTGAGGGGTGTGAACACAGGAGACACAGCCCTGCAGAGCCCAGCGTGGGGCAGGAGCTGCTCCAGGCTCCGGGGCAGAGCTCCCCAGCTCCCTGGAGGAGCCCAGCTGAGCAGGACATTCCCGAAAAAAGCTGTGTCCTCGTGGGAATCCCACGTGCAGCAGGTTTGCTGGCAGGATCTGTGGCCCTGTAGGGTCCCCACAGTGCAGCAGCCTGTCCCTGAAGAACTGAATCCCATGGGAAAGCATTCCCAGACTGCTGGAGCAGTTTGGGAACAGCTGCAGCCCATGGAAAGGGCTCAGTGTTGGAGCAGTTCTGATAATTGAATTTATTTTTACCATGTTATAAAATGTATATAAGCCTGAACAGTTGCTCTTTAGAAGAAATCCTTCCATTCCTTTTGATTCAGCACAGTGCAGGACCAGTTGGACTGGAGTGAACTTGGCTGACGTTCCCCTGGGACAGATGAGGGAATCCTGGTCCTGAGCATTCTGCTGCCTGAGCAGCATCCCATTCTGGCAATTTTTGGCAAAAGATTAATGGCAATTACTCTCCCACAAATGTCCCAGCAGTGAAAAGCTGCTCAAGGCAGCAGCTTTGATACTGAAGTGATGGAATCTTTATCTTACTGGAAATTTACCTACTCAAATGCATTGGTGCTTTGTCCAAGGGTTATTCATTAAACACAGTCCCTTGGCCTATGTGATTTGTAAGTATATTATTATCACCTTTCATTAAAAACTGATTTTTTGTGCATTGTAAAGCATGAGAATGAAAATAAAAGTAAAGCTTTTTGAACAAAATCCCTTGTTAAAAGAGAATATTTATTCTAAGGAAATATTTATAAGCCAATATAAATATTTAAAGCCAATATTCCAAATATTTTGGAAAATGATTAGCTGCTGGTTCACATCCCATGTCTTCAACTTTGTGCTGAACTAAAAAAGAGCTGCACAGATGTGTGACAAAGAATGGAGGGCATTTCTGCATCTCTGCTGAAGCAAGTTCACATTTAATAATCAAATTCTTGGCAGGAATATTTCTGCAACCTGTGTCAGTGGAGCATGTACGAGCTTAGAAAGGAAGTTTATATAATTATCTCATTATCTAATTTCAATAATAGAATAATTGAGTTGCCTAAATGCCTATCAGTGGCAAACCAACAGAGATGGTAGATCTGTGGGTGTGAAGAAAACCTCAGCTCGTCAGCCTGGGATCTGCCTGATCTCTGACCTGCTCCCCTTTCTGGCTGGAATGTTTGCTTTCTATTCCTTTTTGTTAAGTGCTTGCAGTGAGGGATTCCATTTTCTGACACTGCACCTCCTTTGCAGTGTCCCTCTCTCCCTGATTGTGAGGCCAGTGCTGCCCCTGCCCAGGTGAGCAAACACCTGCCTGTGGCAGCACATTGCTCTGCCTCTCAGCATTTTATATAGAGGTGCACAGAGAGAAATGAAAGAGAAAACAATTTCTATTTCTGCTCCTTGTTTTTCCCATGTGGGATGTGTTTGGAGAATTGTTTCCCTGGGGTGTTGCTTGGTTGGGTTCTGGTGAGGATTGTTTGAGCTGGTGGCCAATCCAACCCAATCCAATCCAGCCCAACTGGGGCTGGACTCTCAGAGAGGGTCACCAGTTGTGTGAGAGTCAGAGAAAGTAGTGTGTAGTTTTAATATCCTCCTTTTATATTGTGTATTAATGTATTTTAGCACAGTTATAATAAAGAAATAATTCAGCCTTCTGAATTGAGTCAGACATCACCATTTCTTCCCATTTGGTTCACCTGCATTTCCAATACCTGCCTGCCTTTGGCAGGAGTGTTTTTGGGATGTGGATCCCTCGGGAGAGGTGGGTGGGGCACTCAGAGAGCATCTGCCTCTCTGGATGGATGGATGGACACACAGATGGAGCAGTTCTGAGTGACTGAGCAGCACTGGGGTTATTCAGCAAGCTGCCACAAATTTGTTATCTTGGGAAGCCTGCAGTGGGGCTGAGCCATTCCAGCTGAAAACCTGCAACTGAGAGCGTGCAAGGGAAATACAAATATTAATTAATATAATTAATATTATTAATATAATAATATTATTAATTTTAGAATATTAGCTTTTAAATTAAAATAATAAGATAAGTAGTTATAGACAGTGTTTATACATTTGCAATCCGAATGAAAACATGCAGAGTGTTTTTTTGCAGTTTAGGATACTCTTAGAAATTGGGACTC